CTCTATTACCTCCAGGGCAACTGCTAGGTCTTCATGCCTCCAGGGGGCAGGTTTGGATTGAGTCCCTATGGTCACTGTACAAACAACACTAAAAGATCACGATCTGATGTTGCCGGTCGGGGACTGCAGGAAAGGCAACCATTTCCTCATGCCAGGAAGGAAGCATGTTATCCTGGACTCCTCCAGATAGACTCTTCTGTGAGCTGCAAAACTAGCAGGTTCTTCTGAAAACGAGTGCTTTGGGAATCTTCACGTGTGAAAAAAAGCCCAGACATCAGTTGACCATAGATGCAATGGCTCGCGCCTCTTTACCTTCTGAAGAGTAAATGGTCGGAAAGGAGCAATACAAATGGAGGGTAAATACAGCTCAGAGAAGGAAGGGATGGTGGTTCTGGGTGAGGATTTCCCCAAAGGAGGTGTCGGTGAAGTGACCCACAGAGAAGGAGATGCCGATGTGAGGAAGAGGGTAGAGAGCTATCTGTATGAATACTTTATCAATGCCTAGCGGGGCTTAAAAAAGAAGTAAGCATTTGTTTTCTAGTGATACCTGTTGATGCTAGTCAGAATTGGTCAACTTACTGCTCTTGAAACTCAAGGGGGTGCGCTGGATTCTGCAGTCACTACAGAAATGTGATCCTTCGTCTCAATAGCTTATGCTTTTCAGAATCATGGGTTTGGGGCTGGAGAGATAGATCAGAAGTTAAGAGTACATACTGCTCTTGCAGAGGACCCAAGTTCAGGTCCCCATAGGCACATGGGATAACTTGCAACCGCCTGTAACCAGCTCCACAGGATTTGACGTTCTCTTCTGGACTCGTTCAGGCACCTGCACTAACATGTGTGCAGACTTTCCCATAGTACACATAATCAAAAATAAAATGACTCTTAAAAACCTGAGTTTTGTTCGAAGGAGCAACAGATAAAAGTTTTAAAGAGCTTCTATGTAGTAGGAAAAATGATTCAGTTTGTGCTTTGAAAGGAAAACTTCAGCACTATACACCAGTTCAGTGGAGGTTTGCTGGAATAGAGACACAGACAGACTAAAGCATGTCATTGATATGCTAAAGATGTTCATGCATGGCCAGGATAGAAGGATAACCACAGGGGAACAGATAGCTATATTCCTGGAAGCCAGGCCCTGGTATTCCACATGGTGTCAGGATCAGTGTGAGTGACCAGTAAACTTTGGCAGACATCATGGTGTGCTGTTTGTGAAACCAGATTAGGGGAGACACTGGGTAATGTCTCGTTCTCTCAGTTCCTAAGTTCCTTTATAAATCATCATTTGTCCTGTGACATGATCTGCACAGTGGGAAACTAAAGATTCCTGCCAACAGCCACATGGATGCCCATGGAAGTGGTTCCAAAGGTCCTGGCTGGCAGCCTGAGTTTGCAGAGACCTCATGAGAAATGTTGAGAGAGAACCATAAAGCTTGTCTTCCACCTCTAGATTGCTGGCTCTCAGAAATGGTATGATGGTGTGCATTTGTTGTGTGAATTGGGGGCTAATTTGTATCCAGCAATCTATAACCAATCCTGAAGAAATGATGTACGCTATAGGTTCCATAGAGGGAACCTTCACAGAAGCCATCCAGGACAGAGATGACAGTTAAGGGACACAGCAAAGCCATAATGTAGGGAGTCAGAGCTCACATCGTATGCCTTAACTGTCCTTCTGAAATCTCAACAAAAAATTCGCTTTGGATTCTATGAAATTTTAAGGAGTGTCCATTCTCCATTGATTCAGATTTTTTTATTACAAATGGAAAGTCATGGTATGTCAGAGTCATACCATTCAAGGCTACATCCTCTGTAGGGCACATGGTAGAAGCCATGTGAATGGCTGTGTGTTGTGGGCAAGTGATCTGACGTGAATCCTGATGGCTTTATGTGAACACGATGGGTTTTTGACAGACTTGAAGGTCGTTCTGGATTTCCCCTAGGGGTGTGGCGCTCACCTTCATAAGGAGTATTCAGAGCAGATATAATCTCTTTTTATTAAAATCATGTTCCCCCCCCCAATTTTTCCCAGATTCTCCCCACCTCCCTACCCACCCAACTTTGTTCTTTCTTCTCTCTCTTTCAAAACAATCAATCAAACAAGAACAAAAAAATGAGAAACATAAAAATCTACAAAACACAAATCAAAACAAATAAGCAAAAGACTAATAAGACAAAAAAATGTCAAAACAAAGCCAGTGAAACAAAAAGTCCATAAAAATACCGTTGAATCCATTTTGTCTTGGCTAGCTACTCCTGAGCACGGGCCTACCCAGGTGTGTAAAACTCCGGTGTTTTTTTTTCCCTTTGCCAGCAGGTATCAGTAACAGATAGCTTCTTGGTTTGGGGTGGGACACTGTGTCCACTTCCCCAGCAGAGCGGTTAAAATTTCCAATGACAATGAGAATGACCTTATGCTGTTTCCTATGAATTCTCGCTTAGTTTATATAGCCTACTCTATTGGCATTATTATCATTTTTATGCTAGGGATGAGCACACAGGGGCATGAGCTGCTTACATCTTGGGCCATATAGCTCTTCAATGACAGAACCAAGGCGTGAGCTGGCCAGGCTGGTGGCAATGCCTGTCTCTGTACTATGATGAGCGTGGTAAAAAGAGGTTGCCGCTGCCTGGCCGTTTGTCACTTTTAGCAGTCAGCCCATTTGGAGGTAGAGGTGTGTGCTTATTCACACAGAACTCCCGGTCCTCTGTGCTTGACTTCAGTATTCAAGCTAAAGCATCCAGACGTTCAGTTTTCCTGATTCTACCACTCAAATAGTCTACTAAAGGAAAATCGTGATTATTTTGTTAAAAAAGTAAACCCATGGACATACATGGCTTTCTTGACAATGTCAAGTTTGTTGTACCTCGTCTAAGATTGTCCATGTAATTCTTGCATGCCCTCTTCCATTGCGCTTGGCTTTATGATGGAAAGCTTTAATTTGCTCCACACAGAGCCCAGTTGCTCTACGACTTCCTGTTATTTATACCACATGCCGTCCACTTTCTCGCACTATTTTATTTCATAAAGCACTTTGGATACCAGTTTATGTGAAAGATGTTATTTGAAATCAAGTTATATTGCAAGCTACATTATCATAATTTCCTTCCTGCATCTTATACAGTTGCTTGATGTTTGATGCAGTGTTGAAATTTAAACGGGAAGGGTATCTAGAATTGATGCTCATGTATTACTTATTTAATCTGCTGGTGGAGCAATCCACTGTTGGGCTCTGTTTTCAATATAGTCCACGGTCTGCTCTGACATCCATCTTACTCGTTTCATGGGGGGAGATCTGCACTCTGTGTGTAGTTACAAGTTCAGCATAAGCAGGAAGCTGCTTGGCTTTTAGGATGGCATCACAGGGTATAGCGGTTCAGTTACGGATCATTGGTATGTGTCAGTTCAGTCATTCATAGACTACTGGTTTTGGTGTTTTGGTAGTGTGTCGTGCTGTCTGTTCGTTCTGTTCTTTTGCTGTTTATTTATTCTGGACCACTTTAATACTTTTGGGTACAAAGAGAAAGAAAGGGGTTGAAATGGTTATTTGAGTGATCATCCTTAGTAGATCTTGTTGGAGATGTAACAAGACAGAAAGGAATATTACTTTGAAGACAAGGCTGACACTGGTACCTGAATTTGGGGCAGGGTGTGGGTTTGTGTACTTGCATTAATTAACCTTCAAGTACTGAGTGCAAGTTTTCCTCTTTATTTCCCTAGGAGAGCTGCAGTGACCACAAGACAGCAGATGATCATAATGCCATTATCATCCATGCAAAAATCTCACTTTCATATAGGTTTTGGTTCAAAAGAGATATGCTAATTACAGACGGCGTATGAAACCTTGCGTCTCTGCTCCAGTCCCTGAGTTTCTGAACCCAACTTGCAGTTTAAGGCTTAAGGTTACCTCCTGTCTCAGCTCCCAGAGCATTCTGTGTCTGGTGGTCCTTTGGCAGTGAATGTGGTACAAGACGCCCCAAACTATAGCATATACTGTTGAGAGGAGAGGAGCTTCTTGGTTCATGCTTTGCTCTTCCTACCATATTTGGCACAATTTCCTGTAGAAATTAGTATGGTGAAGTGCTTTAATAACTATTTAGTAAAGGCTTATATTATCTTTTCCCTAAACACTATTAGGAAATTATGTAACTATCATTGTATTGCTAAGCCACTATAATATTATTGATATATAAACAATGGATTCTTCCAGTCATCCTTGATATTAGGTCCGATAGACCGAAAAAGATCTAGAAAACTCCTAACCAGACCCAGATTTCATAGGAAGGCAATGGGTTAGAGACCTTAAGGGGGAAGTCTGGATTCCACGTCTATTGTTAATAGGATCTTGGGCAAACGGTTTTCCATTTTTTGAGTTAACATATTTTGACAATTTCTCTGAATATTAAATGAGATGATGGATTAAAAAATGTTCTGTGCAATTTTAACTGTTGCTTTTGTGTTCATTCAGGAGACTCTCTGTGTCTCTGTCCCTCTCTATCTCTGTCTGTCTGTCTCTGTCTCTGTCTCTCTCTCTCTCTCTCTCTCTCACACACACACACACACACACACACACACACACACACACACACACACACACACACATGGCCAGCTCCAGGTTCTATTATTTGTTTGTTTGTTTTCCTTTTTCCTTTTATTGAAAATAGGTTCTTTTCTCACATCGTGTATCCTGATTACGGTTCCCCTCCCTCTACTCCTCCCAGTTCCTCCTAACCCCTCTCCCATGTGGATCCACTCCCTTTCTGTCTGTCACTAGAAAAGAACAGGCTTCTAAGAGATAATAGTAAAATATAACAAAATAAAGTAAAATAAGATAAAGCAAAAACTATGACATTAAAATTGGACAAGACAAACCAATAGAAGGAAAAGAGCCCAAGAGAAGGCCCAAGAATCCGAGACCCACTTATTTGCACACTTAGGAATCCCATAAAAACCACTAAACTGGAAGCCATAATGTACGTGCGGAGGACCTGGTGCAGACCTGCTTAGGCTCTGTGCATGCTGCTTCCGTCTCTGGGAGGTCCATACGAGTTTAGAGAACCTTGTTTTCTTGGTGTCCTCCATCCCTTCTGGCTCGTATACTCTTCCCACCTCCTCTTCTGCAGGTTCTGCGGGGGGAAGGATTTGATGGAGACATTCCCTTTAGGGCTGAGTATTCCAACATCTTTCATTATCTACATAAGGTCTGGCTGTGGGCCTCTGTATCTGTTCCCATCTGCCAACAAAGGAAATTTCTCTGATTATGGCTGAACAAGGCACTGATTTCTGAATGTCATTAGGAATCATTTTATTGCTGATTTTAAACTTATTATTATTAAGAACAATAGTACTTGGTTTTATTCTAGGCCCCCAGACTATATAGTCTCAGGTTCTTAGTCACTTAAGCGGTGTTGGGTATGGGTTCCATCCTGTGGAGTGGGCCTTAAGTTAAACCGGACATTGGTTGGTCACTCCCACAAGCTTTGTACCACATTGGCGTTTGTATATCTTGCAGGCAGGACAGAATACAGGTCAGAGGTTTTGTGGCTGGCATGGTGCTTACATTTCTCTTTTGATGGTGTGCAGAGTACTTTCCTGTACCGAAGATTCTAGAACACGAGAGTGAAGGCTCTATGTAGGCACCAGCTCGACTTCTCTGTGTTCAATGAGGGGTGTGTGTGTGTGTGTGTGTGTGTGTGTGTGTGTGTGTGTGTGTGTGATCTTCAGCCATGGGGTCTTGCTGTCAGTTTGTAGAGATTACAGGCTCTGTTTTTGAGTTGGTATCAGAATCAGATTTCCACAGGCAGCTCAGTCGTAATTGTCAGAGGATACCTTCCAGGTAGATCGCGGCTTTCTTTGCAGCTCAGGCAGCCTCTCTTTCCCACTTTGGTTCGTGCTAATTTGAAACGTAAGAATTAGAGTTGAAATTTTGAAAAACGAGAACTGACCTGAAGGCTCTGCCACTCAGTGGCTGACCCTGCTGGTGATATGTCGAACACGGGGCCGAGCCGCTCAGCTCTGCTCTGTGTCAATCAAATGGGATGAGGCATGTGGAAAGGTTTCTGTCAGGGAGCCATGTATAGTTCATGATTGTTGTCATGTGCCTCTTCTGTGTAAACTTATGAGTGACCTCACACATCAGGAAGAAAGGCAACTTTCATGCAAACGCCATGTTAAATCACAGGCGTGGCTAGCTCAGTGTACGACTTTCAGAAAATAGCATTCACTTTAAATACTTCTTTTATTTTAAATTATAGGTAAATGTGTGCGAGTTTGTGTGTGTGCAAGCAGGAGCCAGCAGAGGCCAGAGGCTTGAGACTCACTGGAACTGGAGCTGTAGGTGGTCGTGAGCAACCCAAGTGGTGCTGAGAACTGAACTCAGGTCCTCTGGAAGAGCAGACCTTGATCTGAACCTCTGAGTCATCTCTCCAGGCCCAATTTAATTATTAAATTAAAATAATTTAAAAAAATTAATTATTATTTTTACAAGTGTGACGATCCTTTCATAATACCAACTCATTTCCCCCCAAATTCTATATTTGCTCTCCCATTTTCTTCCTGCTAAAGGTTATGCATGTGTACTGCTAGTCATTTCTATTTGTTTACTGTCTCTGGGCCCTCCCTTCATCCCTCCTTCCCCAAGGGACTCTTTCCTTCCCCTCCACACGCACCACCCATATGGAGTCTCACAAATAAATTCTCTGAATTAAGGGAAACTTGGTCAGGGATTCTTTGGTTGCCCCCTAGGGAAAGCAGCTGAACTTTCACGGCCCCGGGCTTCCCTTTAAGAACGTTCTATAAAAGAAAGTGGTCCTGAATCACAACTCTTACCCCGCCTCAGTTTACTCAGCTCCTTCTGCAGAAAAATCTATACAGAAAGAATCACAAATAGGCACCTAATAAAAGAAATTCAGTGCACATTAAAAACTAGAATACCAGATGGTGGAGTTTAAGTATTATTCAACTACTGTTTATCCTACCCAGTGCTCATTTTAAATTCAACATTTTTGAGAATTATTCATGGAGCCACAGTTGTATTTCATGCAGAGAACAAGCTCAGTTTGGAGTGAATTACCAGAATGCACCCGTCATTCCCATACTTCCCTGGTTATTGTTAATTTGGAGTGCAGCTATTAGTTAAAGTTGAGAGGCTTTCGGAGCCAATCAACATCAAGCAATCGTGGACAGCAGTCTGTGAGGAAGGCAAATCATTAAAGTTTACAGGGTGGAAGAACCCACCAACGGGTGCAAGGGCCCAGCTGCTAAATACACAACTGTTTGCTGAGTGTGCCGCTTCCTCTGTAGCAGCCTGCCCACGGAGCGGGCAATTTTTCTTGCTTTTTTCTGGTGTCTGTGGTGTAACTTTTAAGTGAACGTGAAAAAAAACAATTCCGTCTTCCACACTTTCCCATATGAATCACTGGAAAATCAACAAAGCCGTCTGTAAGCACAGCACAATCCCCGCGCAAAGTCGTAAGGCTCAAAGTCATGACCGCGGCACATGTAGACGGCTGAGCTCCAGCAGGCACTGGTCTCGACCACACGTTCGCATTTTATTCACGTCCCTTTTAGAGAAATCGAAGCTCTCCCGCTTCAAGTCCGTAAGAGAAATATTAGGAGACCTTTTAAAAGAACAACAGCCATTCTGTTGCTAACAGTGAATGCTTTGACAGCTTGAAACGTTTTCACTCCGTGTTTAAAATGAATCTGAATGAAAAGGGTTGAATCCAACGCGACACATCCTCAGTGCCTGAAAAGGCTTTTTTTTGGTGGGGAAAAAGGAGGGCTTAAAAAATCTCCTTCTGAGTTTGTTCTTGAACTTTCCAAATTGGGAAAGCAATAAAAGTTAGAGACTTCACTGTCACCCCCCCTACTTAGGACTGCTTCCTACTGTGGAACTCTGGTTCGCCGCGCTGTGGGTCAGAGTGCTGTGCTGGGAGCTCACCTGCAGGGGACCCCTAGTTCACACACGGGGGAAACACCTCAGAAGAGTTAGCAGCACAGAGCAGAATCACAACTTGATGCTACCTGGTCCCAGAGGCTTTGTCATGTTTTTCCTCCTGCGGCATGTCTTCCCGCGGGTATAGTAGATGTGAAACCGCATGAAGAAGTTTATAGTCACACTTTAAATTGATATCCCAGAGATGACACCACAATGTATTTTTTCAAGATGCCCAATACAAAGCACATCTAAGGGTACATCTTTATGGCCAAACCTCTTACAGTTTGTGAGTTCATCCACCACACCTTACCGCAGTGGTTCTCAACCTTTCTAATGCTGTGCCCCTTTAACACAGTTCCTCATGTTGTGGTGTCCCCGACCATAAAATTACTTTATTGTTATTCCATAACTGTAACTTTCCCACTGTTATGAATTGTAATGTAAATATCTGATATACAGGATATCTGACATGCGATGTGACCCCTGTGGGGATTGTGACCCACAGGTTGAGAACCTGTGCCTTACAGGGCTCATGTTTCATGTAATAAATGAAATGAGCGGATAAATACTAAAACATTTCCATGGGAAAGAAAGTGAATGCCTATGCCTTCGCTGAAAGTCTTCTTAAATTAAAGCCATTGTCTCCAAGCCTGAAATTCCTCATTTGTAAGGGAAATGATTGCAGTACCTCATCATGTCAGGTGATGATTCCTCATGGATGTCTCACCTTCCTGGGTGTCAGGAGAGCAGAGGCCTGATTCTCTCTGTCCTTTGTGGTAAATAGTCTTGGAGGATAGTGATGGTGTCTCCCTCTGGAAGAAGTGGCAGGGTACTTACTATCCGTTTTACAAGATTCAGCTCTCCTGAATTTGAATGAGTCTCTGGCCTGTAATGTAACCCACTATTTGTATGCACATTACATCTCTCCCTGGATTCACTGTGGTAACTGAAGCTTGGAGAAGTGGTTTAAGAAACTGCTTGTGCTCTGGTTACTTCTGTTTCTGTGAGTAATAACGTCCCTTGTCTTGGACCCAAGAGTCTCTTGCCTTCTACTAGCATCCATAAAAAGATAGAAGGCTAATTGATTAACTTGCAAGTAGGGCAAAATACTATGTCTGCCACAGTCTTTGATATTTCATATGGCTCTAGCAATTAAATGTTATACAATGTAGTGACTAGCCCATTGGGAACACTGGATAGATGTGAGCTTTTGATACTATTAGTGTCCCAAATCGGTTTTCAATAGTTAGTTCACTATTAACACAGTATTTTGGTATTTGACATGCATTAACTGTAGATTGTGTAGATTGGCTTTTTTTTCCCCAAGTGATAATGTAACAGTGGTATTCTTTTGAATATATCCCCTTGTCAATGCAGTTGGCATTTCTAGAGAGTCAAAGAAATTCTCTGAAGATTGGGTTCATGAAACATGCATGGTAGCACATGCTTGCCATGGCAGCACTCGGGAGGCAGAAGCAAAAGGACCTCCACACATTCAAGGCAGTTAGGTTTTTATAGCAAGAAGTCATTGAGGGATACACAGTGAGCTCTTGTCCCAATAAACAAAAATAAGCCTCAAATCCCAAAAGATTGGTGTTTCTGAATATTTGGGCTCTGTGGCTATGGTGAATGATATGTAAATACTCCCAAAGGCATAGCATGTCTTATGGTGTAACTGGAGTGCAGATTTTATCTTATAATCCAGTGTTGAGGAAAAAATATTAAACCAATCGAATAATTGGCATTCAGCTGTCTGCCAAAATTTAATGACTCAAAAACCCTAAAGCCTATAGTTCTTTATGTACTTGATCTGAGGAACACTGAAAATATGATTTTAAACCATCTGTGAACCATATAACTTACTGATACAGAAATAAGTTCAGAAATACAAATGATAATGTAGCTCTGATAAGTGTGGGATCCGTCTGGAATGCCGTCTGCTTCTCTGAGCATCTTACCCATGTATTTCAGCTCTGCGCTCAAGTTATTGAACACAAGAGGTTTGCTTGCTATGAATGTCAAACTGTGCCCTTTTGAGGGTGTTTTGGCTTTACATACCCTGCCTTTAGCAATTCTAAAGTTCTCCACTCTTGGCTTATTTTAAAAATCACCAGTTACTTCTGGCTTTTGGTGTTACTGATAGATTTTTATTATCAATGGATTGGGTTTCCTTTATTGAAAAAGTCATGGTGAGGGGTGAGGAATGGAAACTTAATTGGTAGAGCCCTTGCCTAGCATGTCTGAAGCCCTGGTTCAATCCTAGAACCATAAAGCCAGATATGGTGACACATGCTGTAATTACCATAGTGGAAGGTAGAGGCAGAAAGATTAGAAAGTCAAGGTCACATTTGGCTGCATGACAAGTTCAAGTCTAGCCTGGGCTATATAACTCCCAGTCTCAAAAAACCAAAGAAAACAAACCTCTTCCCAAATACACAAACAAAAAGGAAGCAGAAATTGAACTGAGTGGATGAATTTCAGGAGAAATAGGACATTTATATAATATCAAAGAATCCTTATTAATTACAAGGGAAAAGAAATGTTTGCAGAGGAGAAAATTGGCAAAAATTAGCACCACCAAGAACAAGATATATCTATACCATGCACCCTGATCTGATACAGTCATGGGGGATATATCACTTCTGGGTATTTTCTTAGTAATGCATAATCCCAGTCTGAGCATGAGAAAATGCTAAGCAAACCAAAACAGAGGTGTATTCCACAAAATGACTGGCCAGTGTCCTTCAAAAGCCTTCGAGTGTGAAAATAACAAAAGAAAGGAAGTGCTAGAGATTGGATCACCAAGGTAGATCACAATCTGCCGATATGAAATCCTCCATAGATACTGGCATGGTGTTTTTAAAAGGCTGTTAACAGATTAAAAACTGGTGCGCTCTAACGGGAGCCTGTAGCTTTATGGAAAGGGCAGTTCCTTAGGCTAGAGATAATTGCTTTGGTTATGCAAGATTCTGACACTGGGAGAAGCCGAGTGAAGACTGTCTAGAATTGTTTGCACTATTTTAAAACCTCTTTTATAAGCTTCACGTTATCTTAAAATAGAGCTGTCTTTAAAAAAGAAAAGAAAGCACATTGTTAGTAATTGTTGTGATAAAACTCAGTATTCTTGTCTGTGTTATAAACTAAGAGGAAAAGGGAAAGAATACGACAGGGCAGATGACTCTCCAGAAGCTCGGACAATCACTTTCTGTCTTGGAGTCACAGAACAACACCATCACCTGAGGCCGTCAGTTGACATGATACTTTGTGCTCTTCTAGTGTGTGAGATGTACTTAGGAACACATTGCTTCTTTACAGAGGTTTCTTTTCCTCCAAAACTTATACAAGTTTTGAGAGACTTTAGTTTGGTTTTGCATCATTGTCACTATTTTTTTTTTCAAGCATACTCTGTCCATGTTGCAGAAATGGGCAGTCACATGACTTCTTATTACAGAATTTCTAAAACCAAGATGACGTTAGATGTCACGTTTCTGGGATAACACTTTTGAAATATCTCTTATTAAGGTGATGTCTAAGACTTCATCATCAGAGGCTGGAGACGTAACTCAATGGGTCCAGGGCTTGCTTTACAATCATGAGAACCCGAGTTTTCATCCCCAGTGCACACATAACAAGCTGGGTATGGGGGAGCACACCTGCAAGCCCAGAGCTTGGGGGTTGGGGCAGAAAGGAGCTGCAGGTTCAGTAAGAGGCTGTCTCAGAAACTAAGGTGGAGAGTGATAGAGGGGAATCCCTGACTTCAGCCTGCATTCACGTACACACATGTGTGTGCACGCACCCACATACAGGACATACACAAAATAACATTTTATCATTAGAATTTAATCCCATGGTTGTTTCAAATGCAACCAAAATCTTTAAGAAGGTAATAACGTTGAATTATGTTATTAAATTCCTCTTAGCCGGGCGGTGGTGGCGCACGCCTTTAATCCCAGCACTCGGGAGGCAGAGCCAGGCGGATCTCTGTGAGTTCGAGGCCAGCCTGGGCTACCAAGTGAGTTCCAGGACAGGCGCAAAGCTACACAGAGAAACCCTGTCTCGAAAAACCAAAAAAAAAAAAAAAAAAAAAAAAAGAAAAAAATTCCTCTTAATGTAGTAGCTGGCTGGAAGTCAGGTTTCCATTAGAAAAACTCAGAGGAGTATGTCCTCCTTAGCCTTGAGTATCAGTTTGACACAGCCAAAAGTCACTTGAGAAGGGGGTGTCCATTGAAGGATTGACTTGTGGGCATGTCTGTTGGGGGACTGTCTTGATTGCTAGTTGAATTAGGAGGGCCCAGCCCATCGTGGGCGGCACCATTCCCTGCACAGATGGTCTTAGGCTGTATCAACAAACCAGCTGAGCACAGACCCGTGAGGCAGCCTGAAGGCATCAGTCGTCAGCTGCCCCTGCTTCAGATTTGAGTTCTTGCTCTGACTTCCCCTGAAGATGGACTGCAAACTGTCAGCTGAAACTAACCCTTTCCTCCTCTAAATGGATTTTTTTGTCAGAGTGTGTTTGTTGTTGTTTTAATCACAGCAACAGGATGAAGCTAGAATAGGTAACAATGAGCAAATAGAAGCTGAGGAAAGTATATTAGGAGAGAGTATATTAATATTCATAATTAATAATCAGAGGTTAGATTTTTGGCTTTGTCATTTGTTAGTTGGGCCCATTGCCTGTCTTTTAGCTGTTTCTTCTGCTGCTGAAGTGGAATGCCGTGCGTTCACTTCCTGCTGTGTTAACAGGTGTAAAGGGACTGAGAAATAGGCGGACACTAGGGTGGTATCTGAACCAGACTATGTGCTGAAGGATTCCTAGTGTTCTTTTGTTTGTTTATCACCTGTCCCTTCCACAGTATTAACCATAAAACCAAATTTTACTAACCCAGACACCTCACAGTATCCACAGATGGCTAAGTAGCGTACTGTAGACCTCATTCAAGCCGATCGAGTCACGTTCATGTTTCAGACAGAGCTCTGCTGTACACCTGCTGTGGCTCTGTGCGAGAGGCTAGAGAAAGACACGGCCTCCAATTTAATCAAGACACAGACTTGATTTCTTTCAATACGACTGTAATATGGCTTGATCTAGAGAGCAGTCAAATTGAAATAAAGAAGAGGGGGTCCATGACAGAAGACATTAGATGTGCCTCCAAATGACTCCAAAGGAGAGGCCCCAGGTGGGGCACTAATAGTGGCCTCATTTGGGCAGCCTAGAGGCTGGACAGAATAGTGTAGGGCATCCCAGAGGCTGGACAGAATGGTGTAGGGCATCCCAGAGGCTGGACAGAATGGTGTAGGGCATCCCAGAGGCTGGACAGAATGGTGTAGGGCATCCCAGAGGCTGGACAGAATGGTGTAGGGCAGAGCCTTAGGGTCTGTGTGTTTGAGTGAAGCAGATCTTCCCCATCATCTGGGTCATACTTCTCACTGCCTCTTTCCTGACCTGGGAAAGTGCGGCTTAGGCATCTATTTATCTGGCCATGGTGCAGACACTATGAATAGCCATATCTGCTGAGATACTCCAAACAGCATTCCTAAACTGCAGCTGAAGTTTACCTTCAGTGACATCGAGAAAGCAGTTATGTTCCTCCTGTTCTTCTTTCTCTCTCTTCTTTTCTTCTTTCTCTGTCTCATTCAGACAAATAACAATGACAAGAAAATCAATGCTTATCCACACACACACCCATGCTTTCCACTGAGGTCCACTTCACTTTCATGAATATGAACCTACTGCACACTTCAGTTTTGTCCTGTCATGTAAAACAAAATCAGAATGTCCGTCTATCAATATCTGCGTGGTCTATGCCTTTGAGATTCCTT